AAGCAGACGCAGCGCAAGCCTACTAGCATTATAAACTAACTCACGCGCAAGTCACCGCGCCTGCGTCCGCTAAGCTGCGGGGCACACGTTGGACATCAGCGCTAGCGACGGTCTCACTGTCATGCGACGCAGAAAGGTATGGCCACAACTGCGGCAGCCCAATCTCGTAGTCGCGGGCGCGGTTGCCTACTCATAGCGCATCTGGTCCACCTAGCAGCCCCCATTCGCTGTCTGTGCCGCGCGTGACTCAGCACGGCTTGGCGACAGCGCGAAGCCTAGCAACACTTCGCCCTCGTCGATTGGTCTCAAACCGACAGGTCTTGGAAACACGCGACTCGCCTCGGGGCTAAAAACAACGGCTGGTCCACGGCTTGGTGGAGCAATTGCTGCCGCTGGCCTCTTATACGTTTCCTGCCGCGGTGAATACTGTTCCACCGATTCCGCCTGCGCCGACCATTGCATCTCAACAAAATCAAGGCACTTTGTCTTAACTTTGTTTTAGAAGCATTCTGTGACAATTTTACGAGGGGAATTGCAGCCTACCAGGAGCGCAGTAGGTTTTGGACACCCAAGTTGAACCGATTTCTACTTCATATCCACAGTTCGCACGCAAACAGAGCTCGCCTCCTTCCTGATCGGTTGGCGGTTGGATTGCCTATAAAAGAACGCCTAAGGGCACCAAAATGGTTGAGGTCACTTGAGTGGGAGGATAGCCAGGATAGATACTGGTCATATCCATGATGCTTTAACCGCAGACAGGAACACTGGCGGCCACGGTCAGCCAGTCAGAGCGCGTCCCCTCCTAGAAGCCAAACCTCGTCGCTAACTACTTCTTCCCCGCCGACCAACTGCGTTTCCTACGAACGTTCCAAGCTATAGTGACCGTCCTGGCTGCTAGTGCCACGCCGAGCTGGCAGACAAACCAACCAACCAGCGCATAAGGGGCTGCGTCACCTACAAATTTGCGGCGCAAGCAGACAGGCGTACAATACCCCACAGAGTCCAACTCCCATCACCATGTGCAAGTTATCCGGCAACTTTCTGCAGGTCAGATGCCCTGGTCTTCGGCGGGGCTCGTTTACAATGCACGAGAGATAACTTACGATACAGTCAGGATTCCTCTTCCAAAAGTTTAGCCTAAGAAAGCCAGTGGGCAATATAGCTAGACCTGCCGCTCAGTTCGCTAATAGCCTGGACGAAAGAGATTTCAGACCGCCCATGCGACTTTGCAAAACGTCCCTCTCTATCGCCTGTTTACTATGATGACGATTGAATTACATACCCGTGACCAGCAAAAAGTTGAGAAGCTGCTCACACTAGCGCAGAAAGCCCCCTTGGGATAGTGTAAGATGGGCTATCTACGCGGGATTCTGCGGAATTCAATCGTTGGCTTCACGATAAGGACTCATCGCGGGATAACTATTTGGGAGGTAAGATAAGCTCGGCCGAAGGCAGAGGGAGCTGTTGAGTGATGGTGAAGGGCTCGTTCCCTGCCACGTGGTATTTTAATTTAATTTGCTGTCCGGACGCAACTTTTTAGCTGTTATCCTGGTTTAAAAGACGTCTTCATTCTAGGAACGTGCAAAACTGAAGAGTAGAGCTGTTCATTGCGCTCCTGACGATATCAAATTTCTTATGTGAGGCCGCAATGCCATAAAGGGGTGGGGTACCAGAGGGCAAATTATCCTCGCAGGATCACCAAGGTTCGCAGAATCCTGTACCCTTTTAGCTCCGCTCCCAGTTGCTCCACAGATGTTTATGACCGGTGTGCATGATTCACTTTAAACTGCTAGTCCGGGAAACAGCGTCACCGCGTCGCACTCTGCCAACTGAGACACCGTCGCCTGCCTGACGTTCGAGGGGTAACAGGCTTCCAGGATCAGCACCTAGCCATACCCGATAGTAATATTTGTGGACTGCAGATTACTCTTTTTCACAAAACCCACCCGGGAAGGCTATTAACTGGAACTTCAATGTGGTGCTGGAAGTCAGTTCCGCGGGAATTGGAACGATCCTCCTGACAAAGAACGCACTTGTGCGTACAACGACACAGAGCGTCGCCCAACCACAACCACTATTTTACAATGTAGGATTTTATTTCAAGTGGCATTCTGATACGGGATAACAACAGAGGGAGTAAAAAATGCGTCAACCAGTAGCTGCCGACTGCCATGCTGCGCCAACGAGAGCACGCTCAGTAATCGTCATCTGGACGATAGGCAGCCTGCACCATGAGTCTGTCATCTGTGGAGTAGACCTCCATCACTTTGAGCTGGATCTGTTCCACGACCTCGCGGGACAGTGAGTCCGAGATTGCCTACAGATTTTGAAAAAAAAAAGTTAATTCGATAGCTTTGAAGGCAAGACAGTGAGTATACCATAGAAAAACAAGCACTAAGCTGTCAGTAGGTGCCTTGGAAAAATAATTTGAAGGGATATACCGGTTAAATAGGGAGCAGGATAAGAGAATAAGAGGACCGGCGGACGAGAGATGACATCTAGGCGACAACGCCTCTGCCTAAGGATCTCGACTTGCTTGGTTAAACGGGTCTTAATTCTGACTCGTATGGAGCTGGTGACACCAAGGACGACGAAGGGTCCGTAAAACAATTTTGCCATGAATATGGAAATGATCGTATTTAGACTTCCTCCTAACGATTGCCAGTGTTGATCAAAGAAAATTGCCGCTAACAAAGTGTCTGTCAATTGCACAAATGGTTTTAAAATAACTCAATCGTTTAGAACGCTAAAAGCTCTTGAATCACTGGCAGCAAACCGGTAACAGGCACCTGTCGCCTACCTCGATGGATCGAAGTGGTAAAATTTGAGGTAGGAGCAGCGGTGAGCGGCAGGTGCTGAGAGGACAACGAAGACGCACTGAAGGATTTAACTCAAACTAAATAACACAACAAAGCCGCCCGCACGCCTGGGATCTCAGTGAATGTCAACAGAAGGCACGGATAGGAATGAAACCTCGGTTGCTCCCCCACTAGCCTCATTTTAGTCAAACCTCTCGATTGTCCTCCCTTTGTGGGGCGGTGGTTTCAATTGGTGTGAATTGGGGACTGGTTGCAAATGGTGATGAGGAGCAACACTTTCAGCGACAGTGATAACTTGCTGACCGTGTGCTAATCTTCACGCGCAAGTCCTCAGCGCAGAGCATGACGCGGAACACCACCACTCCATTTAGTGGTGGGCCACGCGAAGGGAGGCAGCGCGGGCCTGTTAATATATATATGGAGATACTTCGTCCGAGCGAACTTTCAGTCGAATATGGTACTGATCACGAAATGCCCCCATTAATTGTCAGAAGGCAACTTATAAGCACGGCGCATCTCCACTCACCTCGCCCAGATTCTCCCATGGTCATACTTCTTCCCTTTACGGACGCCCTGCCGGCCTAAGCAGGCAGGGCTTGAGGGAGGACGTTCTTTCGGGCATTTGCGGCAGGGTGATAGCGATTAGCAGTAGCACAGCCGACACACACACACCTAGGAAGCTGGTGATTTCACTAGCGGTAAGCACAGTTAGCCTGAAGTATTCACCAAATCTAGCGGACGGCGTCATATTGCTCTCGCCTATGGCAAATTCGAAACAACATGGGATTATGTCGCGTGATAACTAATATCATAACCCCACCTAAGTAATGCTTCCTAACGGAAAACACATTTCAGAATTTCGGCTAACATCTCACGAGATCGGACACTAACTAATATATTCTCCGAAAATACGCGAAGGTAAGGCAAGATGATTTTGCACTTGCATTTGTATAGGCTATCCACAGCATCGGTTTAGCCGCCTCTGGTTTGGTACATGCCCTGAGGTACCTGGCTGATGCTCTATTCGGGTCCATCATAATCTGCAGGGCCGACGCGTAACCCGATCTGTCCATCAACGTTGATTCAAGTGAATGCGATTTGATGGCACGACAAAGTCAGAAGAAAAGGTGCTAGAACACCCATTCAACTGAACCTGAACAAGTGCCGTACACTGAGGATGCACAGTTTCGATGCTGATGGCACACGCGCCCGCTGCCAGTTGGCGACAACCTGGCGATGAACAGCCGTGTAGAATACTAGTTTTTTTGAGGATTGGAGACAGGGAGTTACAAAAATATAGGAAATTCCTGAAAAATGCTGAGATTAGCCGGACATTTTACTGTACACTTGCCCGCATACCTCACCTCCTAGGTGACCCTCCAAAGGGAAAGGACGGGGGGGGGAGCAATCACTGGCAGGAGAAGTGCCGCGTCGGTCTGCAAATGAGATGTGGAACCCTGCAGCTTCAGTCCTACACTAAAATGACGCATGCGGCTATCCCAGTGAAGTTGGGCCCGATTGAAAAAGCAAGGCAGCAACACGTACAACTCGGCAAACTGTTCGCTTTGTGCCTGGGTTCCACCTAATCAGTGCTTGGCACAGTCCTTGGACGGTGGGGATGGGATGCGAGGGTGAGGCTAATACTGGGCGTCTTATCCACTATTATCATTCGAATCAAGCGACCATTGCACCATAACTTTGGCTGCAAGAGGCGGTCATTCCCCTCACCCCCAGCCCCCTAGCCCAATCTAACGTCCAGCTCTCATTTGCAATTTTAAGCTGTGCACAGCGCAGCGAACACACTCTGGTAACAGCTTCGACTGGTGCGCAAAGCTGGATGAAGGTAAGCGGGGTAATCCCCCACCCAATGGAGTTGTGCGTAGTCTAGCAAGGCCAGGAAGTATCTACTGGGAAAGCCGTGTCCAACTCACACGAAATAAATTTTCGGCATAAAGACAGACCTTAGTGATAATACACTAGCAAACAGCGAGCAGAGTGTGTTCTAGAGGAGATCGCCAGGGTTTTGTAAAGAGGAACACCTTGTTCGCCTGTGCTACAAAAGGCTGTCCGCGTTTAATCTTTGCAACGTGAATATTCGGAGTGCACCCATGATGTTAAACTCTTCTCAAAAAGGTGTATACACTTCCTCCTTAGTCGTGATGTAGGCAAGGTATTTTTCAACTGAATAACAGCACTGGCAATCCAACCTGGATGACAAACAGAAATGCTTTACTTAGGGCGGCAAGTTTGTGGCAAAAGCACTTGGTTTCGTTGTTTTTTTTATCTGCAAAATGCCTTAACGCACACGTGGCGATGAGGCAGCAGAATAGTCAATTGTCCTATTTCTACGTTCAGTTGATACAGACCATGATGGCGGAGGGGAGAGTGGGGGAAGGGGGTGAAGGTGTTCTCCTACCTGCCACCAGGCCATTTCTGAATGTCTGTTTCCGGGTACTTCCACACCGGCAATGCGGAGAGCCAGGTGGAGGATGGAAGCGGCAATATACTCGGGTGCATAGTCGACACAGAGCGGGGTGTGGTAAGAATCGGCCAGGATTGACCAGGCCAAGCCGGGTAGCCGAGCCAGGGCCAGTGCCGAGGGGCTGTACTGTGAGGGCGCGGAAACCGAGTCGCCGGAGCCCAGTTCACTGCCAGCCGGGTGCGCTATGCCTTTGCCGATCCAATGCAACAAGGCGGACATATAGTGCAGAAGATAGGTGTGCGGCAGGTCCGGTTTCCGCACCTGGTAGCCGAGCAGGCGCATGAGAAAAAGCTCCGAACTAACAATGCTCACTCGTAGACGGTCATAATCTTCGCCCACTTCGAGGGGCGGGCGTTTGGTTTTGTGGAGAACCCTAAGCATAGAAAAACAACAGAGGACCGTATTATTGCAATAACTGTTAACTCCGCCCTAGGTATTGAGGGAAATTGACTTCGGCGGATGTAACATAGAAAAGACACTCGAAGGACTTCAAACATTCAGATAGTAATCATATGTGACTGGGACATATAGCGCTAACAGATGCGAAAATGTGAGTCCCCGGAAAAAACTGAGAAGGGAAGGCGATCCCGACAACCATACTTGGCCGACTTCGGCCTGGTAGTTGGTTGTCTGTTTGTGACCTTTGCCACCCATACAGAGCTTCTTTGTTTCGGGAGGCCAATAGATCAGTGTGCGCCAATTCTTGATTGATTCCCGACGAACGAGGTCTGATTCCCCCTCGGGATAGACAAAAGAGGTACTAGTCGGAAGCTTTAGAAATACAATTAATCTGCGCAGTGTTCATCCGCTTTTCAGGAGAATCTTGTTTTTTTAGAGTGCAGTAAAATGAAAGTTACATAGTCGGTCGACTAAAGAGAATAGCGACTGCAAGACAGGGAGAGGAGGTCTACAGTACGCCAAAAGTGCGAACGGCAGAGGAACTTTGGAGCGCAAAACGGGCATTATATAAGGGAGGAGTCTGTACAATCCAAACAGAGTGCAAGTGCATCTGCTTTGAAGTGCTACGTTTTTTTCCTAAAGGCTGTTAAAGAAGCACTATAAGTGTTTAGTCTGCTACAGAGACGTTGTCCCCACTCGGTGTAGATGGAGTGTTTAAATATATTTAGTCAGCAGCGGAGGTGCACAAACTCCTGAAAAAATTAATGCCTGAAAACCACGAACAGGAGTGCTCGGGATCTGCAAGTCCCCTAAGTTAGGAATAAACAAAATCAGTTGGGTATCTTAGAGGAACGATAGGCGTTTGTAAACATTGTCATGTGAAAGAGGACTATACATACTACCACACCAAATGTGGACGTCCGTGTAAGCCGGTGTATTGCACCTACAGAAGATCGTGGAGGTATACACAACAGTCGCACACTAACGAAGAAGCGAGTGTATTACAAATTAACTCACCGGTAGTAGGCTACGATAACATCCCGTAGGCGTTGGTGTTCCTCCTGCACTTTACCCCCGAGACTTATACAAGCCATCGCCATTGTCTGCAAAATGAGAACAGTTTTTATTGAATAATCAATAAACAACTGGGGTGTCGGGCTCCATTCGGCCCTACTTAGCGCAGACCAAGCACAAGAAAGTATAAAAACGGGCTAAGGAAATGGTTGCTCGTAGAGGAGTGTAGGCGCTGGCTACCTGGTAGTGAGTTACTCCGCAGAATTCAGAGCTGACTGTCATTCCCACAGGCGCGTTCAGTTCAGCGTGAATGCACGTGGGATACGAAATGCCCGGGTGGTCCTCGGTGTCAGATCTGGGCTTTGTTAGTTATGTGACAAAACGAAACTGTCGAGAAATGCCTATTTCTCGCTCTTTTCCGTCATCATGCAATCTCAGATGAAGACCTGAGATTTGAATTTGTCAGTTATCAGCCATACTTGCCGATTATTTATTACCAGTCAATATGTATAGGTAAAAGGTTTCAAAACCCGGCCCTCTGAGGCGAAATAGACATGCTCAAATCCGGCTTAAAAAATAAATAGATTGGTAGGCACCACTTTCCAGGTACCGGCTAAGGGCGACACGGTACGGCAACAGAAAGGATGAGGACCGAACAAAGACAGAAGAAGCTCCGTTGCCTAAATGGCTGGCCTATGACAAACAGTTTCATCGCATCCAGGTGGATAAACGTGGATCCAAACACGCATCTTAACCACCCAGAGCACGGAAGATCAAATGTTGGCGATCTGGACGGTTATCATCGGCTATAATTACCGCATGGGCACATATGTTGGCTGCCTCGAAGACTATGAATCCGGTTGAATGGGAATGTGGGCTACGGCAAAGAGGTCTGGTTAAAACAAATCAGAAGAAGATAAAATGTTCATTCAAAAACAACATGAACTACATGGATACCCATTTGAGTGGTAGGGAAAAAGAGACAGTTGAGAGACACATGGCAGTACTCTCTTAGTATCCGATGTCAAGGCACAAACAACATCTAATGCTGAATGCAGAGAACCTTAGCTAGCAGTCTAGACTGCTGCTAAGTTAAGGGCATTGATGGGATGAACAGATTAGGGACATTAAGGCAGGCAATGGGCAGACCTCGCTACGTCCTGTGAATCAAAGAAAATGAAGTGGGACAGTTGCTTGTCCTATAATAAGGAGGGTCGTAAGCCTCCGAGGCTTCATTCAATCTATTATACTATGGCATACGCGAAGAAATGCAGAAAAAGGAGGATACTACTAAAACACAGAGAATGGCAGCGTTGTCGACATCGATTTGAATGTCTACACACGTGATAGTCTATTAAACGACAGGCGTTTTACCATATACTTAAAAAGGAGGCCGATGTGCATAACAGTTAAATGCACCGTTGCGTTTCTGCTGTCAGAGGCGGGACAGCTTCTAGAATTCAGAGGAACACAAGGGAATGTCCAACAGTCCGAACGAAGCAAAGGAGGATGGGCTAATAATTAAGAGATTCCTGGGAAAGGTAGGTGGGATCGCATTCACAATTTCAGGCATATTTTTGGTCAGACAGCTATAACCCAGTACCACGCTGGAGAGGCCCGAGGTTCCAGCACCAAGTGAATTCGGCTTTGGGCGTTTCCGACCACCGCCGACAGAAGCTAAACCGGTATCTCAATTGCTGTGCGCTTGACTCGATGACCGGAGAGTCTGCAGTCCAGCCTCAGGGATTCCAAGTCTTGGGCTGGGGTACGAGTGTCCGACATGACAAGTAAGCCAGGCAGTTATTCCAGGCTGCGCTCTCTTTATCGACTACACCTCTCGATTACCGATTGCTCTTCTTCATGCGACCTCCTACAAGAACTCTAGACCCGAGACCAAAAACAAAACAGATTGTCCCGTATCCCAACTGGATTGGAACTAAGTCGGTGAATGCCACGACCCATCGTCGGCCTATCACGCAACACATACACACACGCGCGCGGTCACCTAAACTGGAAACCCAAGAATGGTGTAGAAAAAGCAAAACTGTAAAAACGAAGTGATCAAAACGTGCGGCGTTCAAAACGAAGCTTCCAAGACGTATATCTATAAGAAGGGTAAGGAGAAGCGCTTACGTAAGGATCAACATCTCCCAGTGTGGTTCTAATGGATCCATCTATTGCGGAGGCTGTAGGAATATCGTTGGTGGAGGAGAAGGAGGCCGGAGTGATATTCGTCTCACCGGCCTCTGCCTCCACAGCGAAGGGTCCCGTCTCTTCGCCCACGGTCAGCACTCTTACCATGCGGTGAAAAAGGGTGCAGGCGGTGGCGATGGCTGGGTCGCTCATAGCCAGTCGGCGTCCGGCCTCACGGATGGTTTGGATGAGAGTAAAGATGGCCGAAGGAGTCAGTGGTGGCCTACGTGGCACGTTCAACTTCACTGGTGGGGGACGCTGAACCTGTGGTTGCGGGGTCTTGGTGGCGTTGGATGCACTCTCACGACTGCCTGCTTGATGTTCACTGCCCGAGGCAGGGGAGAGCGAGGTTCTGGAGGTCATACTGAGGGTGGATGGCAGGGCGTATTACCTAAAAAAGTGCAATAGACAACAAGGAGTAAAACAAGATGTTAGGGTGTCTGCCACATATTCTAACGATTGCAGGCACTGAAACACAACAGATGTAATTCCGAAGGTGGGGAGTGAAGAGTGGAAGAACTGAAAACAATTCCGCAACTGTGTTTCAACGTCCGATACATGTTCAGCTGTCGCTCAATCGCATTACTCCATGGCGCCGACAAAAAGGACCGTAAAATGGGCTCTAGGCTCTTACAGGTCTGTGTGCCGGACTCGGAGACCGGCAGCTGTTAAGGTTTGAGGAGTGTGCGGAAAAAAACTGGCCCCCCTCCCAAATGTTTCGTTAAGGACAAAAGTATGGGTGAAAATCCGACTGTTTCGTGTTGCGACAGAAGGGGAGGGAAAGGAAGGCCGGGACTGTAATAGCAACCAGCAGGCATGAGCTGACAAACTCCCTCAAACACCGTCCCCAGAATCCAGTTTATCTCCTCCGAGTCATAACAAAGTCACGCCTCGCTCCGTAAACTTAACTCTGTCTGCAGAACTACAACATGTAGAAATGCTAACATGTGAGAGGCGTACTGTTAGATTTCTGTACCACTGCGATCGGGACGCCTTCCTTACACCGGCCGGGAGACAAAAAGTGGAGGGGAATCGCCCAAGGAAGACCAGAGGCCGGAACAGATCCCTTACGCCGAGCAGTCAATAGACCAGACGTAGACATTTTTTTCTGCCCGAAAATAACTCTTCGAGAGTAAATCATGGCACACAAGACAAACTGGTATTATTTGGAGTGCAAAAGTGTCTACTTCGCTTCCTGGTGCCATAGACTGACCGCTGCAAGGAACCTCATACCCGTCTATCCTTTAAATTAATAAACTGCAGCAATTAAGCCAAAAGTTCCTAGCCTATGGCAGCCGCATTTACTGGTAGTTCGGCCTTCGTAAGCAACGACGACTGTCTTTATCATCAGACAAAGGGATACTTACTGCAACCTTGGGAGTATAAAGGGCACTTATGATGGGTTAAATAGGTGGCAGGAGGGATGTCTTTTGATCTAGGAGATAAGACAGACTGAATTTAAAAGGGCAAGTAAACCGTACAATAGACAGGACTAGACATGCTAACGGTCTGTCTTTCGCAGCCGGCGCTTAAGTGCAGATAATTAAAAAGGTCCACAGCGCAAGGCAATAAAACAGGCTTGACTGCACCGTCTAGGCGGCATGTTTCTACTTTTTATGAGTTCTTCTTGGACAACGCGGGAGCTTTGGATCCCTTGAAAGTCAAATTACCGGACGAGGCTATTGACCCTGAGTCAAAAACACACGGCTTCCTTCCTAATTGCTTATGGATGGGAGCCTACAAACAAAAATCATCAAAAATCGGCTGGGAAGGGCAAGAGACGCGACGAAACTGGTGACTGAGTTATAGGATATCACATCCCTTGTAAGAGTTGCTAATTTGGTCAACTGTAGCTGCAGAAGAACTTAATGCCATATAAAGTGCAACGGAAATCACTAATTTACCGATACAGGAGGCTGATTGTCAGTTCCTATAATCTACATAACAGAAGTAAGGTCAGATCGATGTCGGAAGTGCTACTATAGGGCTTTGTCGTCATTTACGTCGAGATTCCAGTCCTGCTGCCCATCGCTGCC